ACAGCTCAGCACTCTATAGCAAGCTCTTAATGAAAATGGATGCCAACAAAGAGTGTTACATCTAGCAAAATTAAGCTTCAGATTTGATGACAAAATGAAAACCTTTCATGATAAATAAGTTAAAAGAACTTGTAGGGAGAAAGCCTGAACTAGAGAACATTCTTGGCAAAATATCCCAGGAGGAGATTAAAACAACAATGAACAGTGAGCAAAGGGAGGAACTACACTAAAGGAAAGGCCAATCAAAGGAGAAACCAAGTCAAGATAAAAACCAAAAATAAACCAAAATGTCCAGGAATACAATTTATATTTCAATAATAACCTGAATGTGAATGGCCTAAACTCATCAATTAAAAGACATAGACTGACAGATTGGAATAAAAAAAATTTTTTTAAAGGCCCAACAATATGTTGCCTTCAAGAGGCTCATCTCACAGCTAAAGACATCCACAGACTGAAAGTGAAAGGTTAGGAAAAAACATATTACTCACATGGACCATGTAAACAAGCAGGTCCTCATGTCAGATAAAGTAGACTTCAGACCAAAGCTAGTGAAAAGGGATAAAGAAGGATATTTCATGTTGCTTAAGGAATTTATACACAAAGAAGACATAGCATTCACAAATATGCCACAAACAGTTGGACATCTATGTATATCAAATAAACTCTTCTCAACTACAATTAAATAGACTACAACACAATACTACTGGGTGACTAACACACCTCTCTCATCACTAGAAAGATCTTCCAAACAACAACTAAACAAAGACACTATAGAACTCAATAAAATAATCAATCATTTGGACTTAATATATATATATATATATAGAGAGAGAGAGAGAATATCCCATCCATCAACAAGCAAATATACTTTTTTCTCAGCAGCACATGGATCCTTCTCCAAATAGACCATATGTTATGCCACAAACCAGGTTTTAGTAAATACAAAAACTAGAGATACTATCCTGCATTCTATCTGACCAAAATGAAGTAAAATTAGAAATCAAAGATAAAATAAAAAAATGTAAGCTACTCCAACACCTGGAGACTACATAATATGTTATCAAATGACTCGTGGATAACAGAAGACATCAGGGAGGAGATTAAAAAAAATTCTTACAGATAGGTGAGAACTCCAATGTAACATATAAAAATCTCTGGGACACTATGAAGGGAATATAAAGAAGAAAATTTCATAACATTAAGTTCATTCATTTTAAGAATAAAAAAATCAACAAATAAACCACCTGACATTACAACCCAAAGCCCTAGAAAAAGAAGAACAAACACCAAAACTAAGACAGAAAATAATTAATATCAGGGTGAAAATCAATAATATTAGAACAAAAGAAACAATTCAAAGAATTGACAAGACTGGTTTTGTGAAAAAAAAAATAAAACAAATAAAATTGATACATCATTAGTCACCCTAAAAAAGAGGAGAGAGAAAACTCAAATTAGTAAAATTTGTGATGAAAAAGGAAACATCATGACAGACACTATTGAAATACAGAAGACAATTAGAAAAAAATTTTTTTTTGATGGACACACCCTGCTAAGTGAAATAAGGCAGCACAGAGAGCCATACTGTCTGGTCTCATGCACAGAGTGAGCTACAAGGTGATTTTACAGAAAGTACATGAGTAGTCACCAGAGGGAGGAAGAGAGGGGAGAGAGGACAGGGTGGGCCTGAGGGAGGAGGCTGGGTATTAGGTACAAGAATACCTCAGGAGGGCCAGCAGTACTGCCCTCCATCACAGGAGGTGACAGGGGTGCACAGCATGTCCCTGTGTATTTCATAATGAAGCTGGGAGCAGTCCACAGACACCAAGAAATGATAAATGTTAACAGATGGAAGAGCTAATGCCCTGATCTGATCATGACACACTGGAACAGGTGTGCAACTAGCTCATTGCTCCTCATCAAAATGTGCAACTTAAATGTGAATCAACACTAAAGAGGAAAATGTTTCCTTTGTAGGAAACAATCAGAGTGAAATGGCACCTCAAGGAACTGTAGAGAATACTTATGCATTGTGCATCTGGAGAGGTGTTGACACCTGGAAAAAATAAAGAAAAAGTGGCTGACAAAGCTCAAGCCATCTTCATGACACAAACATACCTGGAAATAATGAAAATCCCTAATAGGCCACAGCTCTAAAAAACCTGAGCCTAACAAGATAGTTAAGGATGAAGGACAAAAGGCTCCCTCCATCATGATAAAACCAAGACAAGGATGCCTGCTGTCACCACTTCCAGACAACACAGCAAGAGGAGTGCTACCAGCCACTCCAGGAAGAAAATCCCTGTGTTCCAGACTCCAGCCAACTCACATAGCCCTAGACAGTGGGTCAAAATCACTGACTTCACCAATCAGATACAGGTGGGTGCAGGTGACTCACACTCAGACTTATCCACAGAGACAGCATCCACAGGCCCCAAGTAGGAGGAGACAGCGACACAGTGACCACAGACACGATGTGCATTTGACTTTTATTTCTAGCTTCCCGCTCCCTAGAGTCTCTACTGCAAAATAACAGGGGCATTTGATGGTGTTTCTTCACTGCTGCTCCTACCAGAAAGCCTGCTCACAGGGGGAGATCAGAACCTGAGAAGTTATGGGGCTCCAGTACACCCACACATACACAGAGGCCTCACACAAACCTCCTCACAGGGCCACAAAGGCTGCTACACTTTCAAAGGCTGAAGTGAACAACCGCATCTCGTGTGTCATAGTGGTGGCTCCTGGACCTTAAGCCATTTTTCAAAGTTGAGACAACCAAAATTGGTTCACAATGTAGGACCACATGAAATGCTGTACTATTAACCTAGGGCTGGGGTCCAGCTGGGCAGAGAGGGTTCTGCCAAAATGGCTGCCAGACCTGGAACAACCCACACTGTGGACTGAAGGAAGCAAGGGCTGAACTGAAGCAGCATCTGACTCAGGTACTCTTGGCTGACTATAGAGCTGACAGTGGGAGGCCAGAGGCCAGCCACAGCTGGTTCACCATGTCTAACAAACCTACCTCCCACCTGACCAGACCTGCCCCACACACTCACCATTTTCTGCCTTCTGGAGAGTCCAGAATTCCTTCCTGTGGACCTCATAGCACCTGCAGGTCATAGGGAGACAAATGTGAGCCAAAGCCACCTGGGCCTCATACAGCAGAGAAGACACAGTCCTGAAGATGGATTCTGAGCTCCACAGGGTGAGAGATACAGGCCTCTGACTGGCCAGGGCTCCACAAGACCCCTCTCTCACCCCAGCCCAAATATGCACACTCTGGGACCCTGACTGACAGGAGATGCATCATGCTCCTGGGTACGTAGGCCAGGAAGACAAGGTATTGGCAAAAGCCCTTTTCAGGCAGGACTTCCTCCCTGCAAGGAGACCTGTCCCACCAGGGGGACATTTCCACTCATGCAGAGCTGAGCCTGGCTTTCCAAAGCAGGCCCAGTTGGGTAGGAAGCTCTTCTGGGCACAGAGTCCCAGGCATATGTGAGGAATTACAGCCTTGGTTCCAAGGCAGCCTATCCTGACCTCAGAGAAGGTGTGTGCCGCCTGGTCAGGTCTGACTGGGAAGGAGGGAGCCAGGCATAAATCACTTGGGGAAAGGCCAGGGCTTCAAGGGCAAGGCCTGCCCATACTTTTACTCTGTCAACTAATTTTCAGACAGAAAAAATATAAAGATAATCAGGTAGTACAAGTATTAAGTGCATAAAAAACTAATTGCATGACAATAATATTAAGAACTCAGTGAAAGCAAAAGAAAACACTTGAACCAGCTCAGGTTAGAGCCTACCTCACTCACAGTTCAGAATGAATACCCACACACAGAGGGGTCAACACATTCCCATGTTGACAGCCACACTCTGACTGCTAAAATACAACCCCAAAAAAGCTCATACCCTGTGTCCAGGAGGGGACACCTAAGTATTTATCTCTCAAAACCCACCATGCCCGCTGTCTTATAGGTTTTCTTAATGAGAAGATAAAGGAAATCAAAAAGAAAAAAGTGATACACCCAAATCTAATAAAAATGAGGCTCCTTCATGAAACTGCAACAGGGTGCAAGATGACTGCTCTACCTCAGGGCAAATGCCTGCAGTCTTTACAAAGGAAAATAAATTCACATAAAGGGAAGATTAAATGGAAAAAGAAATGTCCTCACAAATGAATAAACATGAGAAAATTACTGAAAACCTTTCCAAGAACATTGAAATATACAGAAAATTGCTCATGCAAATGATATTCAGTAAAAAGAAATATATGGTGATATGAAATAAACCAGGATAGACAGGTGTAAGACATAAGTGCACATATATGAATAGTCAGAGCTCATCCAGACATTGCACTGGAATTTTCTAGTAATTTGAATTCATCCATAATCTATAATCTGACAATGTTTTTCCAATGTCTACAACATTTATGAAGTGTGTGCACTTGGGGGCCAAATTTTTAAAAAGAATGACATTATCAAGATTAAAAAGTTAAACTGGAAAGAAGTGAGGTTCTTAAAAAAGGAGAGATCTGGAAGACCCACAGCCTGAGACAGCAATAGGAATCTAGCCAACTGAGGCAGAGAATCCACACAATACAAGTTATAGCACCACAGAGAGAGAGCACTAATGATAACATTGAGTTATTCAAAACTCAAATAAGACAAAACCAAGTAAAATTCTGCTTCGTCATTTATGGTGAAACTATAAGGAATGACAGAAAGAATTGGCACTGAGCTTATCTCCAGGCAGAGAAGAGCAGTGAGAGAGGTCAGCCAGCCCAGGGCCCACTGACCTTTATTTGGATGGGGACATATGGATGTTTAGATTCATACTAAACTGAGAATCTAAAAAACAAATTATTTCAGTGGGACATAGTGAGTGTCTCATGCCTGTAATCCATAGTGGCTCAGGAGGCTAAGGCAGAAGGACTGAGACTTCAAAGCTAGCCTCAGAAACTTAGAGATGCCCTAATTACCTTAAGGAGACCCTGTCTCTAAATAAAATATTAAAAACAACTGGGGATGTGTTGTAGTAGTTTAGTGTCCTTGGGTTCAGACCCCAGATTGGTCAAAGGGGAGTGAAAGGAATGGAGGGGACCTGGAAATAGGAAAGGTAGTGGAACAAGATGGGCAGCATTACCCTAGATACATGTATGGTTGCACAAATGGTTTGACTGTACTTCGTGCACAACCAGGGAAATGAAAATGTATGCTCCATTTGTGTACAATAAATTGAAATGCATTCTGCTGTCATATATAACTAATTAGAACAAATAATATTAAA